CTCATCAATTTGCAATATTTTTAGTAACTTCAAATGAAATCCGTCCACGAAAAAGAGGACGTCCGCGAGGGTCGTTATCAACAACGTTAGCGCAAGCCCTTTCAGGAATGTTGAATTGTGAAAACAGTAAGGGAGGTGAGCAAGAAATATTTACCCTTTTTTCCCCTAACCGTTTCTCACTGAATAATATGTAAGTTACAGTTACTTTTCCTATAGCTTCTGGCGCTATAGTGCAGGGAAATTCCGCTTTCCGAAACAAGTCCCAAAAATTAGACACTTCATCGATTGCCGTCAACGGAACTGTTGATGAAAATGCTGGTGTGTTACTTACATTTGATGACTTCTTATCTTATTCCACATGGTTGCTCAGGAATCCAATGGACAGCAGAGACTGTGAACAAGTTAATTGAGTATGTAAAGGAGATCCCGGTTCTGTGGCATTCTGACCATCCACAACATTGTAACCCTGTGATACAGAAACAGTTCTTCTCAGAAATTGCAGGGAAACTCAATGGTATCTGCGGTGAAACTTCTGTCAGCGGTCAGTTCTCGTAACGTGTGATTTTTCGAAAGCAACGCATTGAAAATTCACGCCCTTTCTCTCGAAGTCCACTTAGCTGCTACTTTCTGCCTTCAATAGTTCATTATTAGAATTTGGATGCAGTTAGTAACTGTCTCCTTCTTTTTTAGCGGAGGAAGTTTCTGAAAAATGGGCATCTCTTCGAGACAACTTTGATCTTTTAACCAAAGCAAAACCCGAAGAATGCAGTAACTGGGAATATTACCAAAGATTGTTGTTTCTTTCACCTGAAGTTATACGCGCATGCAGATTGGATCGCGTGTCCCAAGGTACGTGCAGCTATCGTTGACCATGGCGTTACATAAGAAATTTAATTTTCAGAGAAGGAAGGGGTACCATCCAGTTCTAGTAGTGTTCCAATCGATGTACAATCTGAAATCTATAAAATCCTTGGATTTCTGTATGGCACAATTTAATGTATAACTTATCGTACGATATTACTTACAGATTTTGACTTTCAGTCCATCGCCGGTCAAAGACAAAAATGCGGAGGTAATTCTGAGCAAGAAACCCAGACTCACTCATAGTTCTGGCTCAACAAATTCTGTGAAAACTCACATCGAGTTGGATTCCACTCCGCATGTTCAACAAGTGTGATCAATTTCATATGCATTAAAACTTGACTTTTGAGCATACGTCAATGTTCATATTCCACATCGTGGTATAATTTGCATTCAGGTCGTATCGACATGGGTTCCGCCTCGAGAAGATTCATGTGAAACTGCCTTACAGCCCCCTTCAACTCCTCCAACAGCAACGGCTCAAGTTACTGTACGGAAAAACTTTTTGCTAAACATTTTTTTGTGGATAGAGCTGAATAGTTTTCCTATAAAAAGATTGCGCTATAGATTGAATTAGGTAACATAATTGTATTTTAGAGTTTCGCATAGGAGTTCCTCTCAAAATACATGGCAAAAAATCGTAGGCTAATGACAAATCTTCGAATTTCTTCTGGCCTTCATATCTCTCACTTTTGCTTCTTCACAAAAATGAGATACCGAGGATGAAACCCTCTACGAAGGACTGCGATAGTCATTGTTCGGCTCTGCGTTCATTTAAAAAAAAAGCCAAATGATTTGTGCATGTCTATTTAGTTTAAAGCACAGCTTTTTGTATTATAGAACTTTTTTAATCGAGAGTTTCAATGCAGTTACTTCCTGAATAGGAGAATCTGAATACGAACAATAAGTTTTCAAAAAGAAAAGCGAAAGTGTCTTTTTGTTAAAAAAAATTCTTTTTATATTTGATTAGACAGAGAAGCCGCATTCAAATTATTGCACTGTAGAGTTCTAATTTTTGTGAACTGTTTATCCTTTCATGATTCTGTCTTAAGGTGAAGAGCGAGATCGATCACATTCTACAAAATTCTCTACCCCGGATAAGCTTGAACAACACGGAACCCGGGTTCGGAGATCTGCTTCAGCCTCCCGTACGCCCTTTTGAAGATAAATGGACACTGATGGGTAAGCTGATAATAGTTGTACACATTATAGGGAGTTAAAGCACCTTTCAAGACTACATCTATCAAGTATTCAAGAGATTTGGTTAGGTTGTTCACTGCAATATAATCGTTTCAAATAATTTATATTTTCTTTTCTCTTTATTTCGTATCTCTTGTGAATCGTTGCTTAGAAA